GATTATATTATTGAATTAAATTTATTATTATTATATTATTATTTTTATGATTATTTATTAAATTATAATTTATGATTTTGTGCTTCAAATTTTATCATACCCGGGATGTTTACTAGACTCTTGTTCGGACAGATTTCAGTGAGTTATTCCTAAAAATTACAGCCTACAATGAAAAAATACATATTTCCATGCAAAAAAAATGTACCGCTTTGAGCACAGAAATATGGACATAATCATACCCCTAGGGAGGTTAAGTAACAAGTACTCTGTACATTCCTTTAACGAGAAAAAATTGTAAAATAAAATCAAAGTATTCAATAGCATTTAAGCTGTCTCATGGGAAGCCAATATATGAACAGAGATATAGTTTACAATATGGTCATGCAGGGATGGAAAGGTGGAGTATTTATTCTATTACCTCTTTAGGCATCTAAAATTCCCCCAACCATGTAAGGGGTTAAGTGTTGTGGGCTGGCTAGCAGATCACATTCGGTATGATGGAGCAGACTCGGTATATTGTCAAAACACACAGTGGATGTTGTCACCTCAGCCCGATGAGACAGTCAACAGGAGGTAATTATTTCTGCTGCTTTAATGCCGGCCTTGGCACTGAAGAGGCCAGAGGAGACCTCGCTGCCAAAAAATGACCCTGTTTGTTAAAAAACACTGACACCACCAAGCAAGAATGTAGCCCCAGCCGCTCACAAACAATGTTTTGCAAGCTGAAATCTCGCTGCAGACTCGGGGTAAACATGTCATTATTGGACAACAGGGGTCACTTAAACTTCATTAAGTACTGGCACAGTTCAACAGGAAAAAGGCTTCCACTGGCCAAGGAGAAAAGCTGGTCCCTTTACATAACGCCAGAACTTGAAATATTCCAAGCTTGGCAATAACCATGGACTAACAGATTTACATGTCATTTTTGGGTTCCCCTATAATTTTATATAATTGCATTACACTGTATCAATATCCAAAAATATGATATTCAACTAGACTATTATGTGTCTATTTGTTTAAAGCGGAACTAAACTAAATCTGAGCACCGCCAACTGAAAAGGCTATTTAATTCATTTTTAACATTCAAAGCAAACTCCGCCATCCATCCATGTCTCCATGCTTTATTTTGTTGAGAGATCACTTTGAAAAACACCCCCTAGCATGTCTAACCACGGCCATCTTGAGTAAGGGCAGATGATTCATGTAGTATTTACTTCCTGGAATCCATCTGCCCTTAGCTTAGATATGCATGCAGGTGGGTGTGCTTAGCTGAGAAAGCCCCTCCGCCCATCCCTCCTGGGATGTATGACATCATTTTGGCCTAGGCCAGAAACCAGGAAGCAACTGAAGAAATGTAAAAAAAAAAAAAAAGTAAATATAATGTAGCTTCCTATCTATTTACTAATGCTAGCAGCATAAGAATTAAAAATAGGTGCTGTTGATTGAGAGAGTTTTGTTCTGCTTTAACCATTAGCAACCCGGCCTATAGAGAAAAGCTTCTGCTTTCTGATCACAAATACTTGCGTCTCGGATGCGTTTAAAACGTGTAAAGATGTGTATGCATACATAATTTGTGTTTATAATCATCTATTTCCCCCTTTGTTTAGACTTTATACACGAACAAATGTGTATGCATGCGTTTATATGCGTTAGCACGTAAACCGTATGTTCTTAACCATTAGCCGCCCGGCCTATAGCCGTTTTGTGGCCGCAAAAATGCTCTAGCTTTCCGGGTGTACGCCATTTGGTGTGCTCCCGCACATGCGCAGTTGCAGAGCCGCGCAGCGGCGCGATCTGTCACCTCCGTGTACCTCGGACACGGCCGATGACAGATCTGAGTACCGGCCCCCGTTGCCGGTACCATGTGACCTGCTGTGACCAATCACAGCAGGTCACATGACAGTTGTATACAATGGATGGCTTCATTCATGCCATCCATTGTATACTAGTGCCTAGCTGTGAATGGTCACAGCAGGTCACATGCACATGTCATGTGATTAGCTGTGGCTAAATCACAGCTAAGCACAAAAAAAAAAAAAAAAAAAAAAAAACCTGAATGAATCGATTTCATTCAGGTAAATGCTTGCTTATAGCAAAGTAATTCTTTGCTATAAGCAAATTTTGTAAAAAAAAAAAAAAAATATTGATCACTTCCCCAAAGTAGTACAATGTTACTATGGTAACATTGTACTACTTTGGTCATAGTAAAATATGAAAAAAAAAATCTTAAAAATAAAAAAAAAATGTAATAAAAAATTAAAAATAATAAAAAAATAAAAAAATATATATATATATTTTTTTTTTCATACTGTCAGCAGTCAGTGTCCCTGTTCACCGCCATGCCAGTTATATGATGACGCTGTACTGCACTGGTGACAGTATGTTAAAAAAATAATAGTGAAAATAATTGTTTTAATTTTTTTCATTTTCCAGAAAAATTATGACAAAAATAATACATTTTCCGAAAAATTATGACAAAAAAAAATACAACTTCAAAAAACTCACCATTCCTCTTATGAAGTATGTCGGACTGTCTACTGTGCAAAAAGGGGTCATTTGGGGGATATCTGTACTATTCTGACATTCTTGGACCTCAAGAAATTAGATTGGCTGTCAGTACTTCAGGATTGATCAATAATCAGATCTATACCATAGTTTGTGAACTCTATAACTTTCCTACAAACTAAATAATACATCCTAATTTGGGTTATTTTCACCAAAGACATGTAGCAGAATACATCTCGGCCTAAATTTATGAAGAACAATTATTTATTTGTAAACTTTTATAACAGAAACAAAGAAAAACGTGTTTTTTTTTTCAAAGTTTTTGGTCTTTTTTTGTTAATTTAGCAAAAAATAAAAACCCCAGCGGTGATTAAATACCACCAAAAGAAAGCTCTAGTTGTGTGAAAAAAAATGATAAAGTTTTAGTTTGGTACAATGTTGTATGACCGCGCAATTGTCAAAGTGTGAGAACACTGAAACACTGAAACGTGAAAAATGGCCTGGGCAGGAAGGTGTAAAATTGCCCGGTATTGAAATGGTTAAACAGGAACTTGTTTCGGAGTTGCCTTCTATTAAATTAAATGGTGACTTTACTGCCAATGCATCTACTCAACCTAGGAACAAGGAACACGATAATTGGGTTGTTAGTGAAGCAGTAAACCAATGTAATAAACTGCAGTTCTGCAGCATAAGGATGGCCACACAAGCAGGGCCACCATTAGAAATCACGGGGCCCTGCTCAGCCTACCTGGCAGGGCCAGGGCCTGAGTTTGACCACCCCTCCCCGTAGCCCATAGGCAGCCAGCAGAGAAAAACACAGCAAGCACTTTGCGCCATGGAGACATTTAAGTGTGGCAAAATTGCGCTAACTGTGTAAGGGATTTAAAACTTATACAGAGCACAGGGGCCAACAGTATGTAACATATATGGAGTGCAGGTCAGGTTTATGTATAATGTACAAAATGCAGGTGTCAGGAATATGTAGTGTACTGAGTGCAGGGGTCAAGAGTATGTAATGTACACAGCGTAGATTCCAGGCATATGTTCCCTACAGTGTGCAGGAGTCAAGGGTGGATAACGTCCATAGTTCAGGTGTTGGGGGTGTTTAATGTACAGAGTGCAGGGGTCATGAATGAGTATTATACAGAGTACAGAGGTCAGTAGTATGTTATGTACAGAGTGCAGGGGTGGGGTGGGTAGGTAATAGTTTAGGAGTCAGGAGTGGGTAATGCAGAGAGTGTATGGATAAAGTTCAAGTCAAGATTGGGTAACGGAGAGTCAGGAGTGGAAATATACATAGTATCAAAATGCAAGGTGTCAGGAATATAGTTCAAAATTAGGTGTCAGGAATATGCAGGGGTAGGTAATGTTCAGAGTACAGGGGTCAGGAGTATGTACTGTACAGTGTGCAGGGGTCAGGAGTGGGTAATATACATAATTCTGGGGTCAGGGGTGGGTAATGTTCAGCGTGCAGGAGTTAGAAGTGGGTAATGAGTAATGTACATAGTGCAGGGTCATGAGTGTGTAATGTACAGAGTACAGGGGTTGGGAAAATGTACTGTACAGTATGCAGGGGTCAGAAGTGGGTAATGTACATAGTTCAGTGGTCATGAGTGAGTAACATACATAGTTCAGGGGTCAGGAGTATGTATTGTACAATATGCGGGGATCAGGAGTGGGTAACATACACAGTTCAGGGGTTTAAAGCATGTAATGTACAGAGTACAGGAATCAGAAGTGGGTAATGTACATAGTTCAGGGGTCAGAAGAGGGTAAACCATAGACTACAGGGGTCAGGAGTGGGTAACGTACTTAGTTTGAGGTGAGGAAAAGGTAATGTTCAGAGTGCAGGGGTTAATGTATGTAGGTCAATGGTCATCAGTGGGTATCGCATTGAAGTGCAGGGATCAGGAATGTGTAATACACATTGCTCAGGGGGTCACAAGTGGGTAATGTACACAGTTCAGGGGTCAGGAGTGAGAAATTCATCAGGGGTCAGGAGTATGTAATGTACATAAATGCAGGGGTCATGAGTGTGTAATGTACATAGCTCTGGGGACATGAGTGAGTACCATTCAGAGTGAAGGTGTCAAGAATATGTAACAGAGTGCAAGGGTTAGAAGGGTGTGATGAACAGACAGACTGCAAAGGCAGCAAACGGGGCAAACGCTGAAGGGCAGCGGATGGGGGATGTACGCAAGCTGCGACCACGATGTCTTGCATCTCAGCATGGCAAAAATGATTCCCCCTGTTGCATTCAGCCGCTGAACACAACTCATTCCGCTGAACGAGGTCGCCCCACAACCTCATATAATTCATGATTTTTCGTTGCAGTAGTAATGGTATTTAGGGGTTAAATCAGACAGTCAGGAGGCAATATAATACTTCCTCACCACCTGTCAAATGTTTTTTGTTTTTACATACTGTAATCAAGTGATGACTGGCTTCAAAGTGCCCCATTATCTTTAAAGACAATTAATTTATTAGGTATTTACCTTTGTTTTTGTATGTGTAAAATGCCACAGCCTCCCACAGTGCCAAAGGATCTTGGCCAACTCCCCTGCAGGGTGTGGAAGGAAGCAGACTCCATTCTCTGAGCCACCACCCTCCATGAAGCCACACACCAGGCAGTTCAGCACAAAGAGGACAATCCTTTCTCCACACGTCTGGACCTGGAGAATGACAAACCTCATTGCTCAGAGGAAGAACCAATTGCCAAATTATCACAAACTGCTGACAAGAACGGTTCTTAGTGCCCTTCTCTAATAGAAAGATCGATCTGTGCCTGAAGGTTCTCTAGAAAATTGTGAGATAATACAACGGAAATAACATTACAACAGTCTAATCGGCTATAGTGAGTCAGGCGGCAACTAAACAGACATAAAAAGTTATCACGGTTTTGAAAATCGAATGTGCTTCTAAACTTGCTGCTATTAATGTTTATAAAGTGTTATGGCGAACAGCACCAAGAGGGATGCGAAGGCAGCCTATCAGGCTATATTTTCACAAGTCAGGAGATAGTAGCCTTGATTGTAAATAGTAAGATATACCTGGAAACCTGTTGTGGCACTTGGAAGCATGGATCATTTTATTTTTGGGGAGAACTGAAGTTGATCATTCTTGGGCATGTGTAGAATAAATAGGTGACGTGGGCAGCACGCCATGGCAAAATTGCACAGTAGGAGGCATCTACAGTTGCAAGAAAAAGTATGTGAACCCCTTGGGATTACGTGGAGTTTTGCATGAATTGGGCATAAAATGTGCTCTGAATGTCATCTAAGTCACAACAATAGAAGAACACAGTCTGCTGAACATAATACTACACAAACATTAGATGTTGCCATGGTTTAATTGCACATAACATGTAAACATTCACAGTGCAGGGAGGAAAAAGTATGTGAACCTTTGGACTTAATAACTGGTTGACCCTCCTTTGGTAGCAATAACCTCAACCAAACGTTTCCTGTAGTTGCAGATCAGACCTGCACAACGATCTGGAGTCATTTTGGACCACTCCTCTTCACAAAACTGTTTCAGTGTAGCAATATTCTTGGGATGTCTGGTGTGAATCGATCTCTTAAGGTCATGCCACAGCATTTCAATCGGGTTGAGGTCAGAACTCTGACTGGGCCACTCCAGAAGGCGTATTCTGTGCTGTTGCAGCCATTGTTTTGTTGAATTGCTTGTATGCTTTGGGTCATTGTCCTGTTGCATCACCCATCCTCCACGTAATCAGAGGAGTTCACATACTTTTTCTTGCAACTGTAAATCTGAGCCTACTTACTGTGTCTATATGTTACAGTCCTTGTGCCCAAAAATATGCGAGAGTCTAAAATACACAATGACTACTGTACAGAGGATCTCCCCCAGTACAGATCTCATCCCCAGTACAGCTCCCCCTCTTGTATGGATTTTCCCCAGAACAGGTCTCCCACAGTATGGCTCTATACCAGTAAAGCTTTCCTCCCTAGTACAAATCTCACCCCCTAGTACAGATTTTCCCCAATCAGATTCCGCCTAATACAGATCTCTCTCACCCAGTACATAATCCCCCCCCCCCCCCCCCAATACAGATCTTCTTCAGGACAGATCCCCCCAGTACTGATCTCGCCTCTACTAGAGATCTCCCTCAGAACAGATATTCCCCAGTTCAGATCTGTCTCAGATCTGTCCAAGCACAGATCTCCCCTAGTACAGATTACCCCTGGAGTACAGATCACCCTTCTAGTACAAATGCCCCCCCCCCCAGTACAGATCTCCCCCAGAACAATAATTCAATAATTTGCAAAAAATGAGACTCTACCTTTACAAATGCACACAGACTACCGTAAAGAGGATCTCCCCCATTACAGATATCCTCCCCAATACAGCTCCCCCTCTAGTATTTCTCTCCCCCCTTGAACAGAGCTCTCCCAGTATGGCTCTACACCAGTACAGCTTCCCCCCCAGTACAGATCTCCCCCTTCCCCCAGTACAGAACTCCCCAGTACAGATCTTCCCCAATCAGATTCCACCTAGTACAGATCTTACGAAGTAAAGATCCCTCCACCCCAGCACTGATCTTCAGGACCGATCCCCCCCCAGCACAGATCTCAGCTCTACTAGAGATCTCTCTCAGTACAGATGCCTCCCAGTTCAGATCTGTCCAAGTACAGATAATCCCTAGTACAGACTGCACCTCTAATACAGATCACCCTTCTAGTACAGATGTCCCCCAGTGCAGATCTCCCCACTAGTAGAGATTTTTCACAGTAGAGATCTCCCCAGTACAGATCTTCCCCATAATACAATCTCCCCAGTATACTTCTGACCAAGTACAGATGTCTTTCTATTACAGGTCTCCCCCAGCACAGGATTCCCCTAATATGGATCTCTACTAGTGGTGAAATCTGTGCTGAGGAGATCTGTATTAGTGGGAAACCTGTACTGGGGGAGATCTGTATTGGAGCAGAAGTGCACTGGGGAAGTGCTGTACTAGGGGATAGTTCTGTATTACGGCAGGAGTACCAGGGGGTGATTTGTACTACGGGGGGACAAGTGTAATAGAGAAAGATATCTACAAAAGGGGGTGTGATTTGTACTAGGAGGAGATCTGTTTTGGGGAGAGTGGCAATCTCTACTGGAGGAGATCTATACTAAGGGGAGAGATGGACTAGGAGGGGGATCTGTACGAGGGGGGGGCATCTGCCCTGTGGCAGATTTGTACTGGAGGAGATCTGCATTAGGGGGGCAATCTGTACTGCAGCAAATCTGCACTGGGGAAGATCTGTATTATCAGTATTAAGGGGGAATCTTTACTAGGGGAGATGTGTTTAAAATAAGAGATTTGTGCTGGAGGTGATCTATATTAGGTGGAGATTTGTGCTGGAGGTGATCTATATTAGGTGGAGATTTGTGCTGGAGGTGATCTATATTAGGTGGAGATTTGTGCTGGAGGTGATCTATATTAGGTGGAGATTTGTGCTGGAGGTGATCTATATTAGGTGGAGATCTGTACTGCGGCAGCAGTGTACTGGGAAGATCAATGCTATGGAGGAGATCTGTATTGGGAGAGATCTGTAGTGTTGGAGATCTATGCTAGTGGTGAAATCTGTGCCAAACATGATCTCCAACACTACAACTCTCCCCCCCACAGCCCAAAGCCTATGTCCTTTTCAAGAGTATCAGAGCTTTGTATATTAGAATGCCCTTCCATCCATAAAAGCAAGGTCTTTGTGGGTGCTGCAAGTTTGTATAGATTTTTTTTTTTATAGTGTTTTCACAGTTTATTTAAACTTGAAGGCTTGCTTGTAGACATAAGTCACTTCTCTACGGCTTTTTACACAGTGGCAGGGGCGGACTGACCATTTGGAAACTCGGGCACTGCCCGAGGGCCCGGGGTCAGTAGGGGGCGCCATGAGATGCCCCTGGTACCTTTTTCATAGGCTTTTTTGAGTTTGGGCAAGGACACAGGGGCCCCATGAGTTGTCAGTCCGCCCCTGCACAGTGGGCATTCAGATTCATGCACTCAGGGAATGCAGGCAGTCTGTGTCCAGGGCATTCGTCCCTGGGCGCATACTGCCCTAAACCTAAGTACCACTAGGGGCACCATCCAACCCCGCTTAGCAGCTGTCAGCCTCTCATAGAGCTTGACAGGCTGTCTACAGCGAGGCTGGATGGTGCACCTGTGCCCACTGACTGTACCTACAAGCTGCAGTCCCCTGCAACGGGGCAAAAATGCCCAGTGTTCATGATGCCATTAAAAAAAAGGTCTAGAGAAGGCTGTGATTTCATGGGTATTATTGAAATGTATTTTCATACCCACATGAGTTAGTAAAGGAAGTATGACTAAAATACTTTGATATGTCAGTTTAGAAGTCAGCAAAGTCACATACTCGAAACAGGTGTCCTGCCCAACCCTCGCTGACTGGAGGAGGGAGGTGGAACAGATTATGGAGGCCCATCGTTGGGTCCATGTAGCACATATTACCCTGGAGGAGTTTCATGATGTTTGGGCTGGGTGGCTTTATTATTTCCATGAACTACCAGATGAGTAGGATCTTAGGGACAGGGAGGGTTCTTTTTGATTTTGCATATGCCCTACCACGACTTTTGGGAACGTATCCCAGTTTGCTTGTTGTTGTTCACTCCTTTTCTTCAATTTTTTCTTCTCTCTTCTCCTTGTCTGCCTCTCTGTACATTTATTATATTTTCTGTTATTCATGGGTCTGTATACCTCTAGTGTACTGCCGTAACACTGGCCTGCTATTAGATTGCACTTGCAGGGGGGGCCTCTTGGTTATTCTGGTGCAACCCCACTGTGGTGTATGGCTCAGTGCACCCCTGAAATTGTGCCTTTTGGCATCTTTATTTTTATGTAATGCTTTGGAGCTTTTACTATTGTAAACTGAGGTTATCAGACCACTGTATGTTTATTTGAAAATTTTCAATAAAAAGAGATGATCCAAAAAAAAAGGGAAAGTCACATACTCTATATATTTAAACCATTTTTTTTATTGTTGTCACCCCTGAGAAGTAGCACCCTGGACACATAACAGAATATGAGCTGAATTTTCTCCATATACACTATGTTGCCAAAAGTGTTGGGATGCCGGCCTTTACACGCACATCAACTTTAAAGGCATCCCAGTCTTAATCCGTAGGGTTCAATATTGAGTTGGCCCCGCCCTTTGCAGCTATAACAGCTTCAACTCTTCTGGGAAGGCTGTCCACAAGGTTTAGGAGTCTGTCTATGGGAAGGTTTGACCATTCTTCCAGAAGCACATTTGTGAGGTCAGGCACTGATGTCGGACAAGAAGGCCTGGCTCACAGTCTTCGCTCTATTTCATCCCAAAGGTGTTCTATGGGGTTGAGGTCAGGACTCTGTTCAGGCCAGTCAAGTTCCTCCACCCCAAACTCGCTCATCAATGTCTTTATGGACCTTGCTTTGTGCACTGGTGTGCAGTCATGTTGGACCAGGACGGGGCCAACCCTCAAACTGTTCCCACAAAGTTGGGAGCATGAAACTGTCCAAAGTGTCTTGGTATGCGGACGTCTGAAGAGTTTCCTTCACTGTAACTAAGGGGCCAAACCCAACCCCTAAAAAACAACCCCACACCATAATCCCCCCTCCACCAAACTTTACACTTGGCACAGTTGCAGTCAGGCAAGTACCGTTCTCCTGGCAACCGCCAAACCCAGACACGTCCATCAGACTGCCAAAGAAGCGTGATGTGACACTCCAGAGAGCAAGTCTCCACTGTTCCAGTGCCACAGCTCTGTGCTTTACACCACGGCATCCGACGCTTTTCATTGCACTTGGTGATGTAAGGCTTGGATGCAGCTGCTCGGCCATGAAAACCCATTCCATGAAGCTCTCTACACACTGTTGTTGTGCTAATCTGAAGGTCACACCAAGTTTGGAGGTCTTTAGCTATTGACTCTGCAGACAGTTGGAGACTTCTGCGCACTGTGCGCTTCAGCATGCGCTGACCCCGCCCTGTCATTTTACGTGGCCTACCACTTGGTGGCTGAGTTGCTGTTGTTCCCAGTTGCTTCCACTTTGTTATAATCCCACTAACACTTAAGCGTGGAATATTTAGTAGCCAGGAAATGTCACGGATGGACTTATTGCACAGGTGGCAACCTATCACGGGACCACACTTGGAGTCACTGAGCTCCTGAGGGCGACCCATTATTTCACAAATGCTTGTAGAAGCAGTCTGCATGCCTAGGGGCTTGATTTTATACACCTGTTGCCACGGAGGGGATTGGAACACCTGAATCCAATGATCTGGAGGGCGGGGCCAATACGTTTGGCAATATAGGGTATACATGAGAGTTGTACAGAAACTAATGCAAAAGTGGGAATAACATTTTTAGGCTCCATGCACACTAGAGGTTTTTTGTAAGCTCCCAGAAGCTGTGATCAGGATATTGTTTTTCTGCTCCTAGAAGCTAATGTTCTCCTATGTGTACATGCACTTTATTTTAGGCTATTAGCATTTTTGAGCTTCAGTATCTAGGAGCAGAGTTTTGTAGAGTTTTTTGGAGCATTTTTCCAGCAGAAAAACAAAGATATACACTGCTAAACGCTATGAAAACGCTCCTAACAGCTTTTTGTCTAGCTTTTTTTCCCCTACATGTACTGTAAAAATTCTAACATTCCGAAATTCTCCTAAACGCTTCTGAACGCTACTAAAATGCTACTAAAAATGCTATTACCAGCATTTTTTTTAGCTTAAAAAAACGTTAGCGTGCATGGAGCCTTAATAACTTACTGTACATAGGTTGCTCAAATTTCACATGTTGGTAGAGTAACTACCAATAATAAAAAAACAAAAACCCAGTGGTGATCAAATATCACCAAAATAAAACTGTATTTGTGTGAAAAAAATGGTATAAACTTTCTTTGGGTACAGTGTTGCACGACTGTGCATTTGCCAGTTAAAGTAGCACAGTGCTGAATAACAAAAAAAAATGCCCTGGTCATGAAGGGGGTAAAATCTTCCAGAGGTCTAGTGGTTAAGATAAAAAAAAAAACTATTTGACTTTAGAACTACTTAAAAAAAAAAAGTTATGCCCAGTTTTGCATTACATTCAGTACAGACTTGTATATACACCAGTAGATGCTGATGTCAGTTTCTCTGACTCTGCAGCAGATCCTCCAAAATAATACTCCATATGGAGAAGACAGTCCATAGAAAGAAGCAGGAAATGTAGCTCATACCGTGGCCTTGAGTGTCAACAATTTAGGAAGTGAGAGGACACCACCTTTTGGCTGGAATTCCACTTTAATATGCACTGCCCAGGGCAAGGAGATAACAGCCAGTTTTTGCTGTGGAGCAGACATAAAAAAATATCTACTTTCTCTTTCCTCCGGTTTTTAATATAGAAGACAGTAATTGGTGATTAATTACTTCTGCATTTGGCCCAAGCAATCTAGAACACTCACCTGTCGAAGACCCTCCTGGATGGGAACACATGACTGCAAGATGTCATCTACACCCCACCATCTGCCGTTCAAAGACACCGCCACAACTGGAAAAACAAGCACAATAGCTCACACAGTAAAGCCAGGAATGTAGCAATCGCGCACTCCGAGATGGACGCGGTCCCCCATTTTGTTAAGAATTTTCAATGTTGTATCATTTCACCCTCCCAAAGCAGGCTGACTCCTCCGATCATCCCCCCCTCCCTCACTGTGGAGTGACATGTGGTCTGAGTGTGTTTGCAGAGGTCAGAGGCAGCCAAAGCACAGCAGGAGAGCTCCAGAGCTATAGAACCCCAATGGAGCTGGGGACTAGCTGTCTAGTAGCTGTGCAATCTGGGATATCGTAAAAGCGTAAACCAAGCCCTTCACTGAGTTCAAAGCATGGTTGCAGGAAAGAAAATTGTATCATCTATGGCCGGATATGTGTAAGACTTAGGTGAGGTTCACAACTATGCAGGTTGCGTTTGAGGTGTTTCTGCATTGCGTTTTGCTTTTTTTTGCATTTTTGAACTTGCGTTTTTTATGCATTTTTGCTGTGTTTTTCATGCGTTTTGCAGGCTTTTTTCTTTTATTATTTTTCTTGTTGCTGGGCAGATTATAAATGCAAACGCATCAAAAACGCAATACATGCTTTTTTGCAGCGTTCCCGTTGAAGTCTATAGAACCAAAAACCAGGGAGGATAAAAATCAATGATTTTTTTAAAAAAATCAAAAAAAATCGGATTTTTTTTAATTTAAATCGGATTTTTTTTATTTAAATGGATTTTTTTAATTTAAATCGGATTTTTTTAATTTAAATCGGATTTTTTTTTATTTAAATCGGATTTTTTTTAAATAAAATGCTTTTTGAGGAAAATATATTACCATCCAAAGGTTATTCCATCATGAAATAAAGATTAGATTTTTAATTATGTAGAATAAGGCTGTATGTGTTTAATTTTTTTGGTAAATAAATTCCATGAATCCATTCACAATGTCATGCTCTTCCAGAGGTTTTTGTAAGATTATTGGGCAGTTTCTCTGCCTACAAGATATTAGCACAGATGATTGGTTTACTTTTGCAGTTCTCAAAACTGAATTTGACTCAGCGGAGATCACATGCCTCTTCACAGCAAAAATGTTATAACATGAACAGAGTTAAGAAAAAGACCTTCATCCTAACTTCTACAAACCTATGAATACAGAATCAACCCCTTCACTGCTAAGTTTCAAGAAGTTCAGTGAATAGAATAGAAACAATATTTTTCTGATTGTTTGGAGTGGAATAGATCTGCACAAGAAGAAAGTGAAACTAAGTGTGAGGAGGAAGGGGCTGACAGTGTGAGGAGGAAGGGGCTGACAGTCTAAGTTTCTTAAAATATATATATTTTTGTTTAGCCAAATTAGTTAACAAACATGGATGTTTAAGCAAATCACATATGCTGGAATGTTATTGTTTCAGTTGAATAAATCTATTTAAATTGTTATTATTAAGGTAATGATTATTTTTCTCCTTCCTAAGTACAACAGAAAAGTTGTCCAAATATGAATGATTAACCTATTAAACTGGGGATAAAAAAAATATTATATGAAAAGTTGTTATTCTAAAAATCTTCATCTACTTCATATTAAAGTTATACCAGCAAGAATTAGTCTTTATGTAGAAAACTAGGATTTAAATCAAGCCTTACTGACTAGTGATTTAAATCGTGATTTAAATCAGTTTGATTTAAATCAAATCCACCCTGCCAAAAACGCAACGTTTTGCGTTCAAAAAAGTCCCTGACTCTTTTCCAAAAAAATACCGGGTGAAAACGCGGAGATGTGAACTTGTCCCATAGGAAATCAAGTTAAATGGACTGTACTGCAGAAAACACTTAGGTGTGAACCTGGGTTTAGAATGGGGGTGTGAGCAGGTTTAGGATTAGACAGGTTTAGCCCGGACTTTCAAGCAGAACTAAACCCTCCTATCTTTTTTTAGCCAAGGAAGTTGCCATCTTAGCATCTGTTTGATTTGCAGCTGCCGTGATGTTGCACATGTGATCAGTTATAACTCCAGCTGTAGGATGGCTTAACACTTGACAATTTGGTTGAGAGCACCAGCAAATGTGACAGTTACATTCCTAGCATGTGATGGGAATGTAATTGTTTTTGAAACTGTTAAAATGATGGGTTTAGTTCAGGGCATTTATCCCTGTGCTGCAGCAATCACATGTCTCTCACAGAATTTAAAGTGTTACTAAACCCAAGACCCTGCATTCACTATATCTGGTCTCCCCGGACCCTGCATTCACTATATCCGGTCTCCCCAGACCCTGCATTCACTATATCCGGTCTCCCCGGACCCTGCATTCACTATATCTGGTCTCCCCGGACCCTGCATTCACTATATCCGTTCTCCCCGGACCCTGCATTCACTATATCCGGTCTCCGCGGACCCTGCATTCACTATATCCGGTCTCCGCGGGCACTGCATTCACTATATCCGGTCTCCCCAGACCCTGCATTCACTATATCTGGTCTCCCCAGACCCTGCATTCACTATATCCGGTCTCCCCGGACCCTGCATTCACTATATCCGGTCTCCCCGGACCCTGCATTCACTATATCCGGTCTCCCGGACCCTGCATTCACTATATCTGGTCTCCCCGGACCCTGCATTCACTATATCTGGTCTCCCCGGACCCTGCATTCACTATATCTGTTCTCCCCGGACCCTGCATTCACTATATCCGGTCTCCCCGGACCCTGCATCACTATATCTGGTCTCCCCGGACCCTGCATTCACTATATCCGGTCTCCCCGGACCCTGCATTCACTATATCTGGTCTCCCCGGACCCTGCATCACTATATCTGGTCTCCGCGGACCCTGCATCACTATATCTGGTCTCCCCGGGCACTGCATTCACTATATCCAGGTCTCCCCAGACCCTGCATTCACTATATCCGGTCTCCACGGACCCTGCACTCACTATATCTGGTCTCCCCGGACCCTGCATCACTATATCTGGTCTCCCCGGACCCTGCATTCACTATATCCGGTCTCCCCGGACCCTGCATTCACTATATCCGGTCTCCCCGGACCCTGCATTCACTATATCCGCTCTCCCCGGACCCTGCACTCACTATATCCGGTCTCCCCGGACCCTGCACTCACTATATCTGGTCTACCCGGATCCTGCACTCACTATATCTGGTCTACCCGGACCTGCACTCACTATATCTGGTCTCCCCAGACCCTGCATTCACTATATCTGGTCTCCCCGGACCCTGCACTCACTATATCTGGTCTCCCCGGACCCTGCATTCACTATATCTGGTCTCCCCGGACCCTGCATTCACTATATCTGGTCTCCCCGGACACCTGCATTCACTATATCCACTCTCCCTGGACCCTGCATTCACTATATCTGGTCTCCCCGGACCCTGCATTCACTATATCCGGTCTCCCCGGACACTGCATTCACTATATCCACTCTCCCCGGGACACTGCATTCACTATATCTGGTCTCCCCGGACCCTGCATTCACTATATCCGGTCTCCCCGGACCCTGCATTCACTATATCCGGTCTCCCCAGACCCTGCATTCACTATATCCGGTCTCCCCGGACCCTGCATTCACTATATCCGGTCTCCCCGGACCCTGCATTCACTATATCCGGTCTCCCCCGGACCCTGCATTCACTATATCTGGTCTCCCCGGACCCTGCATTCACTATATCCGGTCTCCCCAGACCCTGCATTCACTATATCTGGTCTCCCCTGACCCTGCATTCACTATATCCGCTCTCCCTGGACCCTGCATTCACTATATCTGGTCTCCCCGGACCCCTGCTTTCACTATATCTGGTCTCCCCCGGACCCTGCTTTCACTATATTGGTCTCCCCGACCCTGCATTCACTATATCTGGTCTCCCTGGACCATGTAGGAGGCGTTTTCTTTCTGCTCTAAGAGGATGCAGAAGCCCTGACCTCTGCCTGGACAGCGCTGATTGGCCCTGTGCTGATCACGTGCGCCTCCTAAGAAAATAAAAAACCTCTCTAGCAATACACACCAAACTGATGGTTGTTTGCACACACACACATAGCCATCTTATGTGAAAGCTACCTGAGTTTCTTTTCTTGGGGTTTACCAAGAGCAGCATTTTCTGTGAATCGTCATCTCTGTAGAGCGGCATGTGAAGAACACAGTTCCCATCTACTTTTATCTGCAAAATGACACAACATAATAGTACATCACTTTAGTATTTATTTATTTGTTATAGGTACTTATATAGGGCTGTCAATTTACAGCGCATTACATATATATATATATATAGTAGTACATTCACATCAGTCCCTAACCCTGAGCCCTGGTTCACAACTGATGCGGTGCGGAAATCGCAGCACTTTCAGTGCGAATTCCTAATTGCATCAGAATCGCACCCCATTAATGCGAACCGCTGCGTGTGTGCATATTAAGTTAATAACACCCCGAAAGCGGTCCGCAAAATGCGGTGTGATGTGAAGAATTGAATTGCATAGGTGTGAATACCCATGCGATCCGATTCTAGTGCGGACCTAAAAAAGGGTCCTGCACATTTTTGGTGTGCGGGTGCGGTGCGAACAGAGCCATACAAAATGTATGGCTCAGATCGCACTGCACACAAATTGCATGTGATTTATACAGGAATGTGGTGCGGTTCCTGTGTGAATCACATACGATATACAGAGCTGCATGTATGTGAAAGGGCCAATTTAGACAGGTTCCAATTAACCTACCAGCATGTCTTTGGAGTGTGTGAGGAAAATGGAGTACCTGGAGGAAACCCGCACAGACACAAGGAGAACATGCAAACTCCAGGCAGGTGGTGCCATGGTTGGGATTCGAACCAACAACCCAAGTACTGGCAGGCAGAAGTGCTAACCATTTAGCCACTGTGCTGCCCGCATACATTTTGCATTGACGCAAATCACACCGCAAAGTATTGGTATTCGGCATCAGCGAGTACTTGACCAAAAGTATTGGTGCTCGTAAAAAAAAGGTGTTTGTGCATCCCTAGTAGATACATAGTTACATTGGTTCAGGCTGGATTCATGTAATCATCCACACCTAGGGTTCATGTTTAAATCCCAAGTGAAGTCACAGAAACAGATATTCAGTCTGATAAGCACTGTACTAACTACAAATGGCACACCCCTTTTGATAATGTACCTGTTGATAATGTGTAGTACGAAACACATCAAGGAAGAGCCCTGCACGCCGTGACGTCACGCCGCCGGGTCACGGAAGTCCGGCGGCCATCTTTTCTACCAGCTGGTCAGTTTGAATTCATGCAACTGTCATTACATTGCTTCGTTTCTTGCACTGCAACAAGTGTATGTTTCTGGATTTTATTCTCTTACTAATCAGTACCATTAAAGTATCATTTTAAAATACTACACTATGGGAATATCCCTTTTCTTTGCTCCGCACCGAGCACTTTCATTCCCCAGAGATCCCCAGAAACCATCCCAGTGCCTGGAAGAGTTTGATCCATATACCCTGGCTTGCCATTATCCTATAACTCAGAGGAAGGCCACCCACTCCCAGGCTACATCTCGGACCACCCTAAGAAGGGATCCCTGACCGGTTATCATTATACAATACAACGTGCTTTATATATGCACATCTGGTGAGTGCGCACTTTATCTATTTATCAGCACACTCACCTGACGATTTTTCTTATGTACTGGGATTAAGTACAGTCAGCAGGCAATCATTTTGAAGAATTTTATCGAGATTCTATTGACATATCATGACTTAAACGCATTTTTATGCATGTGTGTTTCCACTAAGAACTATTTTACATGTTGGGAGATTCTATATGTAGTAGTAGTTTTTATGGTCAAAACGCACCCACTAACTCTGTGCGTTTTCTTATAGGATTTCATTTGTTACACTATTTTTTAGCGCTGCACTACTTTTATAGATCTTGACTGAAGGCTTGTGGTTTTACCTTTTAGTGTTTTCAGCTTCTTTTACATTGTTAGCGCTTGCTTTAATATTGTATTTACTGTACTAACAACCTCCATTTCCACTGTGTTATCCCTACTTTTCAGTTACAGCAGTTGTGCCGGGTGTCTATGGCTACAGTACAAGAGACAGACCGGAGTTAGAACCAGTGTGCTCAGTAATCCGAACTCAGTCTCAGAACTGGCCAGACACACTGCTCTCTTCCTCTGCAATACAAATCTGTGTTAGGTAACTTCTGCTGGGAGGACTGAGTGTTACTAAGTTATGCCAGCATGTAGCACTGGCATATTATTATTATATTATTATTATTATACAATATTTATAAAGCGCCAATAGTTCGCTCAGCGCTGTACATTACAAAGGGGGACAGAACATGTGACAGAACAATACCAATACAATGCAAAACATGAGGGGATTGAGGGCCCTGCTCTTTTGAGCTTACAATCTAGGAGGGAGGGGATGGTGGCACAGGAGGAGATAGCTGTGGGGGATGGAGTGGTAGGAAGAGTGGAGGAGGTCGGCAGGTTAGCAGGGGGTGGGGTAGGCTTCCCTGAAGAGATGGGTTTTCAGGGTGCGCCTAAAGGAGAGGAGAGTAGGTGATAATCTGATGGGTTGGGGCAGGGAGTTCCAGAGGATGGGTGACACCCTGGAGAAGTCCTGGAGGCGGGCATGGGAGGAGGAGACCAGGGAACTAGAGAGAAGGAGGTCTTGTGAGGAGCGGAGTGTGCGTGCTGGGCGGTACTTGGATATTAGGTCAGTGATGTAGTTCGGGGCAGTATGGTGGACGGCTTTGTATTTCAGCGTTAGGATTCTAAATTTGATCCGTTGCGCAATCGGAAGCCAGTGGAGGGATTGGCAGAGGGGGGTGGCGGAAATGGAGCGGTTGGAAAGGTGAATGAGTCTGGCAGCCGTATTCAGGATCGAATTAGAAGGGAGAAAGCAGCATTTACACTGAAAATGTTATTTTAGAGCAGAACTTTACCACCTGCAGATCTCCAAGTAAGGTGGGTAGCAGGGCGCGTCGGTGGAGGATACTGTGGAATTAAGGCAGCTGATGATGGATGGTGTGTAGGGAAACCGGTACTGAGCAGCACTTCTAAAGAGTGGAGACAAACTCTGTGCAGGAGAAGGTGAAACAGGAGGGCGCTTCTAAGTGCAGTATTCCAGCTCAACTTTAATATAAAGCAGTTAAAAACACTTACAATGTGGTAGTAAAAACAGGCTCTAATGTAATCCGTCAGTAGCAGGGCTCTGTCCTCTAAGCCAGCGGCTCGCGAGCCACATGCGGCTCTTTACACACTTTCATGCGGCTCTTCTGTGTGCCGGGTGCCCGCTCCCCTCCCTCCTCTCGGGCGGCCGCCCCAAAAGTCAGGACTCTGCAGCTAGCCCAGCAATGGGCAAACTACGGCCCGCGGGCCGTATACGGCCCAGCAGACCTTTTAATCCGGCCCGCGGAGCGTGGCAAACATTGGCTGTCAGGATGTAGGCGGGGCAGCGTGACAAACTCCTCTCCTCTCACAGTCCGCCCTGAAGACCGGAACGGCGCGGGAACACGTCGAGAGGAACGCGCGGAGCAAAGGTAAGTGAATTGACACAATATGGGGAATGAATTACTATAGCGGGGATGAATTACTACTAGGGGGGATGAATTACTATATGGGGGATGAATTACTATAGGGGGGATGAATTACTATATGGGGGATGAATTACTATGGGGGATGAATTACTATTGGGGATGAATTACTATATGGGGGATTAATTACTATGGGGGATGAATTACTATATGGGGGATGAATTACTATATGGGGGGATGAATTACTATGGGGGATGAATTACTATGGGGAAAGAATTACTATATGGGGGATGTATTTTCAGTTTTAAAAATGTGGCTCTCAAAATAAATTTCAATCGTGGTTTTGGCGAGATTTGGCTCAGTTGAAAAAAAAGGTTGCCCACCACTGCTCTAAGCGATGGAGCTGCTGTGCCAGCCAGCAGCTGCAGGGGAACTTGAGGAGAGTTGTTAAAGATGGCCGCCGCTCAGCTCGGACCGCTGGAACGTACACTGTCCACGGACCGGAAGTGACGTGAGCATGGAGCGGTGACGCGTTTCGGAGCATGAGCAGAGCTCCTTCTTCAAGACCGACTCTCCTCAAGCTCCCCTTGCAGCTGCTGGCTGGCACAGCGGCTCCATAGCTTACAGCAATGTTTCTCAACCTTTTTTCAGTCAAGGCACCCTTTAAAATTATGGACAGTCCCGAGGCACCCTTTAAAATTATGGAAAACCAATTATGGACAGTCCCGAGGCACCCATTAAAATTATGGACAGTCCCGAGGCACCCTTTAAAATGATGGACAGTCTTGAGGCACCCATTAAAATTATGGACAGTCTTGAGGCACCCTTTAAAATGATGGACAGTCTTGAGGCACCCTTTAAAATTATGGACAGTCCCGAGGCACCCTTTAAAATTATGAACTGTCCCGAGGCACCCTTTAAAATTATGAACAGTCCCGAGGCACCCTTTAAAATTATGGGCAGTCCCGAGGCACCCTTTAAAATGATGGACAGTCTTGAGGCACCCTTTAAAATGATGGACAGTCTTGAGGCACCCTTTAAAGTTATGGACAGTCCCGAGGCACCCTTTAAAATTATGAACTGTCCCGAGGCACCCTTTAAAATTATGAACAGTCCCGAGGCACCCTTTAAAATTATGGACAGTCCCGAGGCACCCTTTAAAATGATGGACAGTCCCGAGGCACCAATTAAAATTATGGACAGTCCCGAGGCACCCTATAAAATTATGGACAGTCCCGAGGCACCCTTTAAAATGATGGACAGTCTTGAGGCACCCTTTAAAATTATGGACAGTCCCGAGGCACCCTTTAAAATTATGAACTGTCCTGAGGCACCCTTTAAAATTATGAACTGTCCTGAGGCACCCTTTAAAATTATGAACTGTCCTGAGGCACCCTTTAAAATTTATGGACAGTCCCGAGGCACCCTTTAAAATTATGGACAGTCCCAGGCACTCTTTAAAATTATGGACAGTCCCGAGGCACCAATTAAAATGATGGACAGTCCCCGAGGCACCAATTAAAATTATGGACAGTCCCGAGGCACCCTTTAAAATTATGGACAGTCTTGAGGCACCCTTTAAAATTATGGACAGTCTTGAGGCACCCCATTCTAAAATGTGAATAACTATTCTAATAGTTTTATATAATGCAGCAACATCCACATCTCTTCTCCCTCAGTTTTTCTCCATCACTAAGCTAAT